CTTCACCTGGGCTCATTTCTAACAAAAATGGGGAAGGGGGCTTGTGAAGGGAAGGCAATGCTCTCATTCATATAAGTTCAATATAATATTGATCCATCACCATTGATCAGTGTGCACTTTAAAACAAGCCATCATAAAAACAACGTAATGGATCTGAGGGAAGATGCCGTATGAAAAGTATCAGTAAAAGGTGAAAAGTATTTAGTACGCGATAAATACATTGAAGAGAATTCTATCAATATATGAATTTCCCTACATTTAGATCTCTCTAAAAATCCAAAGCAATTTCAGGTGTAAAGATAGGAAATCCTATGTTCTCCCAGACATTTATTATGTAATTGCCTTAAATGGGTGTCATCATTTTCTTGGTATCTTTTCCATCTTTTCCCCTACCACAAAACAAAGAAAGGAAAAATTAAGTAACCGCTCAGTGCCATATGACTGAGACTCCTAGAAGCTCAATGCTTATTCCTCCAACTGCAAATTGTACTCAGATTGGCAAGATTTATGGTAAGCAAATTTAGATGCTATGTATTTCTGTCTCCAGGTTGGAGAAATTTTTCCAAACATTGCTATAGTAAACGGAAGGGTTTTTAAAAGAGTTTTAAAAGTAAAGGTTTAAATAAATCATGCTGTCTCACCTCCAAAATAAAAAAAGCTCACTCTTACAGCAAGCATGGGACTGCTAACTGCACAATCACAATAATTTCCTCGAAGTACATTTCGTAAGAGATGGCGTAAGCATTCTGAAACACATATATGTATCAGAATAACTCTTGATTTGTCAATTCTCCTGATCTGTATTGCTGAACACCAAGAGATTCTTTGGAAATCTGCATCTTACAAGAGAGTTTACATAGCTGAACAGAAACAATTTTTTCCATCCTTGAAATGTCTACTGTGACTTTCTTGGTAACTCCTGTTCTGCAGTCCTGCACCTTGAAGAACTCTGTAGACTAGGTTACATGTCGCATGATCTATTGGGAATGGTTCAAAAGCTCATCTTTGGAAAGAGAGAGGAAGAGCCTCTTTTTAAATTGTTCCAGTTTTATGATTCTCCACAGGACATCTGGAGGTTGTGAAGTTTCTGATGGAGGCCTGCAGAGTCAATCCTTTTGTCAAGGACAGGTGAGGAATAAATGGGCTGACAGTTACAGCTTCAAGATCTTGCTTTTCACTCTCAGAATTATAAAATCTTAGACCCAGCTTCTCCGTCTAAGCTAATGACAGGGACCTTATTTGCCATAAGGAACTGTTTCCAACAGCAGCTGCCTATAATATATTTCCTGTTTCTCTGTTTAGTACTCCTTGATCAAATCAGTTTCTTGATCTTGTTACTCAAGATGTTTGCATGCTCATAACTTGTTTTGGGGCTGATTGGCCTCTGTTGGAACAGAATTGTGAAAAAATAAAAGTTTAGTCTGATGCAATGTGACTATCAAGATATCCATATATACCTAAAGGCCTCAGTTGTAATTTAGATTCTCTCTCCTTTAGGTGTGAGAAAAGGATGCTGTAATACAGTTGATGATCCAGAGTAGGAAAAAGGTTCATATATTGCTAAACTTAGATCTAGTTTGTTGTTTCAATTTAGCACGCTCTGTAAATTCAGAGTAGAGTGTTGACCAGTCTCTATATTTTGCCCTGGTACATCAGGAACTGCTGTAACAGTACAAAAACTGTCAGATTCCTTGTCTCAATAAGGTGTGCCATAACTTTGGGGAAATGTTATTACCTGACATATCATGTTTTTGGGAGAAAGATTTTCATTGAACATTGATGGCCTAAGAAGTTACATTCTCCTACTGCATGCAATATGATTTGATACCCCAGAAACATAAAGCCCTGCTTGTTTTAGTAGTAATCTTCATTTTGTAACACAGTATAAAATATTCTAGTAATCTTTATAACATAGTAATTTGGGGAGGGGCATATACATTGTCCTAATTTGAAGCCAATATGGATACCTGATCCACAAACACTTCTTTTTGATCTGCTTAGTTGAGAAAGAGGTGATTCAAGCTTTCAGTTGTTCCTCGGCACCTAGAACAGTCTTCTTCTCCATTCTGGCATCTTCAGCATATGTTGGGAACAGAGTTCTCAGGGTTTTTATTCACTATGGCAGGGGACTTCAAACTTGGCCCTTTTATGACTTGTGGACTTCAACTCCCAGAATTCCTCAGCCAGGCATGCTGGCTGAGGAATTCTGGGAGTTGAAGACCACAAGTCATAAAAGGGCCAAGTTTGAAGACCCCTGCACTATGCCTTTTGCCTAGAAATTATAAGATTTGTAGCCTCAACCCATTAGAGACCATCAGGTTGAGAAAAGCTGCTCTCAATGGACAGCAATTACAATATACAAATCTTCATAGTGTTGGCTTCTTTGCAGATGGGGAAACATTGCCTTGGATGATGCCATCCAGTTTCATCATCTGGAAGTGGTGAAGTTGCTCAAGGATTATCAAGAAAACTACATACTGGGTTCCAGACAGGCCAAGGAAGCAGCTGAGGATCTCTCCAAGGAGAATTTGGAAAGTATGGTGTGAGAATGGTAGTTGCTATAGCTGCTTTATTATCCCTGTTTTGACTGGTTCATCTCACTTCTGAAAGGAGTGTAACAGTAAACATACTATTGCTAAGGACTTGAAGAATAAGAGAGATGTATAAAGAGAGAACTCATTCCAAACTCTTCCACCCACTTGAGCAATGCGGAGTTGTTTGGTATTTTTCCAAAACAGTCTTGTACAAGAGATGCTCTCTGGTGAACCTTGTATGAAAGTTCAGTATGCCCTTTGACAGCACAAGTAAAATTGATAAAGTCCCCAGGAACCGAGTAACTTTTGGTGAGAAACCAATTTTAGCTTCAGAAAAAGGAGAAAAAGAATGCTCAACTGCCATTTTGGGTTGCCTGATAAAATCCAAGCAGCTATCACTATAAAGGCTGAATGCATTTAAGGAAAAAGGGTTCTTCAATTTCTGTCTCCTTCAATTGTGTAACTTAACAAAACATTTCCTCTACTATGAATCCATCCTCCCTTGTCCAACCATTCCCCCAATAGGTACTTAAGCAAGAAGGGAAAACATACTTGTCTCTAATGTTTTTAATGAATTCTGACTTTTGTCTGTCCCCACCTTCAAAAATAGCCAACCATTCCTGCTATTACAGCTTACACTCCCTTTCCTACACCCACACCATCCGGGAAAGCTGCAGGGCTATCTCATAATACAGTTATGCCACTGGAGGGTGTGGAGATACAACTGTTGCTTTTTAGGGAATTGAATTTTAAAGTGCAGCAGCTGATGACCAAATCAAAAATGTAGTGCATCTATTTTGCTTATTTTCATAAAAAAAATGCATGATGTCAAATTTTGGTCGTGTTATTTGATAGAATGATGGGGGCTACAAAAAAGGGGTGCAGTCTATGTGTTTTCCAGATCTGCCTTGCTTGCTAGAAGCCATACAATATATTCTGTACCTGGGAGCAAAACTTTTCAGTATACTGCACAACTTCTTTTCATTTAGTACTCTCATTGTGGCATTTAAGAAATGAATTACAGTGATGTACGGTGCATACAGCAAAAAGAGGCAGGTAATCCTTGGGTTACAACAGTTCGTTTACCTGACCGTTCAAAGTTACAAAGCACTGAAAAAAGTAATTTATGACCGTTGCCGCATCCCCATGGTCACGTGATCAAAATTCAGAAGCTTGGCAACTGAATCATATTTATGACAGTTGCAGTGTCCTGGGGATCATGCGATACTCTTTTGCGACTTTCTGATAAGCAAAGTCAGTGGGGAAGCCAGATTAACTTAACAGTTGTGTTACTAACTTAACAACTGCAGGGATTCACTTAACAACTGTGGCAAGGTCGTAAAAGGGGGCAAAACTCACTTAACAACTGTTTTGTTTAGCTACAGAAATTTTGGGCTCAATTGGGTTGTAAGTCGAGGACTACCTGTACACATTTATCTCAAGCAATTCTTGGCATATTCAAGAGATAATAAATTGATAAAGATGTTAAATCAAGAAGGCGTAGTTAATAAGCCTTGCCCTAGCTTTTAAGGGAAGTCCAAGGGCTTAAGAAGGAAATTAACTTGCAATGACTAAGTAACAAGCAGTAGGGAGTTTCCAAGTCTCCAATCCCTTCAACATTTGAAATGCTGAAGGTGTTACATGCACAAACGTCTCTCAAACTAACAACAAAAATTAGTCCAGTTGTAATGATTCAACCAGACAACTTCAGACAACTCTACTGGATGATTGAGAATCTTCATCAACATATTACATGCACAGTCATAACATGACTGCTAAGATGCTTGCAGCTATTCCCAAACCTCTATTTTGAGAAAGCCAAACTCAAGAGGTTAAAAATAATTTACACAAGCACCAAAACGGAAGGCAAAAATGGGGAAATAGCTTTTCTACTTTTATCTACACCTTTGCTCTCTCATATTCTGGGTCACTACTTCAAACACTTGTTCACACTCCAATCATTCATTTCTCTCCTTCTCTCCTAAAAATTAATCACGTATAGGGAAAGATTCAGTCATTACCCCCATGTGTAGAATACTACTGCCAGATCCTAAGCACATGCATTGCCACACAGGAAATAAGTCCCTCTTGAATTCCAGAGGGCTAATAAGTGCAATCTTGCAATGTCCTCCTAACATGGCAAAAGACATTCCATCAGCTGCTTGAAATGCACTGTCATTTTTCCTGCACGTATCTTTTCAGCAACCACTCTACTGCTCCAATAAAAGCATTATTTTAGAGCAGAATGGCAAAATATCCATCATAAATCAGTCACTATGGAACAGGAAAAACTGAAACCTTGAAGCAGTACAATGCTATGTTTCACTGTTGCTGCCAACCTGACATTCCTGCAGGGTTGGTAGACTACTTTATCCATCTAGACTTTTTAATTACTGTGTGTGTTTTTTTTATCACAAGATTTCCAAATGGTGGATATTTTCAATCAGAAGTCCAGATAAAATAACATTTTGTTTTAGATGCTTTTATTTTTACTTATTACAATATGATCAACAGAGCATACAGAACTGCTCTTGCTACATCCAACACCAAGAAAAAGAAAACACTGCTTAAATATGTTGATTTCAGCTAATTTTATCTATGGTGATTGTAATAAAACTGTGGCAAATTCTTTATCATTCCTTTTTCATGAATATATATATCTGCAGATGTATATTGGGTTGATTCCTGTTCCTTCAACCAATCTAGTACAGGATGATCTGGGGCTGGTATTAATAAAGTAATTCCTATAACATTAATATGTGTACCCTATTGTTTATGAATTCAGGAGAGTTGGATTTCCATTGGTCATGAGATGCCATCTGCTTATTTCCAAGCTAATCTTTCCACCACACCAGTACGAAGCAATAGTTCATTTGTGTTAAAAATCACTGTTCTCATCAAAATGGAAATCTCTTCAAATATTTCAAAGCTTGAGCACATATTTCTAACAGGAAAAGGATATTTTATATAATTAAAAGGCATAAAGCTAAGGTATCAAATGGTGCAGCTGATCACTTAGATAATAGCTGCTTTTAAAAAGCTCATATTTTTCAAGCAACCCTAAGAAAATCTTTTCCTGACAAAACCAAAATAGCAGTGCAAGATCAATGTGACATAGGTAAAGGATGGCAAATTTCACTCAAAAAGGCAAGGAAACAAGATGTCTAAATGCGTTGGTCCATTACTGAGTCAAATCTTACGACATGGCAAAATGAAATATATTTCAATCTGCTAGGAAGAGATATGGTATTTCCTATAAGGAGAGGGAGTCAGATTATGAAAACCTGAAAATCTCTGGATTGTAATATGGCAATAGCATTTTGGCAGAACTTGCTCTTCCAAGAAAAAAAATCTCAGTATCAACACTCTTGAATAGATTTCAACTTTGCTTGAGCTTCTCAGGTACATCCAGGCCTGAGTGGGTGAGCAGTTCACCATCCCAGAGAGCAAAGGCAGGCACTACAGGACCTCGGAACTCTGGCGACATATTGTGGATGAACATGTGTTGTCGTATATCTACCAAGCTGAATCTTTTGCGGTCATAGTCCAAGAACAGACCAACTCTTTCCGATTGGCCAATGTTAGTGATTGGAGTGGTTTCATTAGCAAACATAGCATTCCAGCAATGATTCCCATAGGCAAAGACCCAGGAATTGTCATCCATTCCTATGCAGACTTCCCGGGAGATGTCCACATCTGCCACCCCAATGCGGAACTGTTGTGATCGTTTCACCGTCACTTCCCAGTAATGGCAGCCCCTGGAGATGGTGGTATCACCCAAAACAACAGACCAGTCTCTGAAGCGTTCAGGGTTTCGAGGCACTCTGGTGGGGTCAATCCCCAGCATGCGATAGAGGACACCAGTGTCCTTTTTGAATAAATCCAAGCTGCTATGGGCTGTTTTCTCATCTAATTTGAAACTGATCTCTGAAATAAGAAAAACATGTATAAGGACCAAACAATTGCCTTACCTTTACATGTGACTCCTTTGTTTTTAAGAATTGTCTTCATAACTCGATAAAACAATTTACCAACTCCTATTGACGGGCACATTTCTATTAATCATTTAAACATGTTATATTTTGGCTAACTAGTCTTTCCAATCTGGTATCCTTCAGATGCTTTGAGAACACCTTGAATTCCCAACTAACACAGCCAAAAAGCCAAGAGTTCTAGTTCAAAGTATCAGGAAGGTATGGGGCCAGGAAAGTTGTAATATATGATGATTAGTTTAGCAAATGTACCTTTTTCATTCAGTTAAATATACTTAGCTGATTAAGTTAAACTTGGATCAGTTTGCATACCGTTATAGTTCAAAAATATTTTTCCTTTAAATTACGCATCTGCACTTTATAACTGGAATTGTTTCAGAAAAGGGTTGCTATAATATGTACATACGTAACCAACATTTTTAAAGATTTAATAATTAAAATTATTCCAAATGTCTGAAAATGGCATCCAACTACTGTAAATGACAATACATTAATAGCAAGCTTTATCAAGGACATATATCTCCTGTAGGACTGATTCCCACAAGTACTGCAATTGTTAATATACTAATTTGGAGGGAATTCAGTATTTTGGAGTGGAATGCCCATCTATGCCCAAATCTTTCATAAATAAATTTATAAAACTTATATGCTGACTGACTCAACGATTCTTGACAGCTTGCAATCTAAAAGATGAAATGTAGAGCAGAAAAGTGTAACCTATGAAAATGTAGCAGTATTGAGAAGCAATTTCAAGACATTATCTGATAACAAACAATATTTAAAAAGAGTTATAGTTACATCTCACTGGAATTTCACCTGCCACCAAATAAAGAATTTTATTTAGTAAATCAATTTTTATGGACATCCACTTTACAGATGAAATTTTGTGTGGTTCATAACACATTACAAAAAATAAAAGAGAACAGTATCAACAGAACATTTAAAAAACTGATATAGTAGCTGGACTATCTAACATTCTGTTCCCATGCTCTGGAACACATCCACTTCTTCAATGCTTTACTAAAAGATGGTAAGATCAAGGCCAATCTAATCTTGAAGGGGGAGGGGGGAGTGATGGCATTTCAGAAGGCAGAAACTATAATTTATTTGTAATAATTATTTTTCCATGTCAGCATATATAAAGATGGAATATTTTTTTTATTATGGACAAGTAATTGGCAGAATAATAGTGTATAATAGTAATTAGTGGCCATCTGATTCCAGGTCAATTTTGAAGGCTATATACTGAATGCTAATTGGGAATAGATCTGCCAATTGTTACTGATTCTAACATTCTTTCTAGGCAAAACTGTTACCCATAGCAATGAACTAGATTATAAAAACAAAGTGGAGCAAAATATAAACAAGTGAACCACTGGTAAAGCAACAAAAATTGAAAAAAAATAAATTGCCCTCCCAAATAAGTTTCTAGTGCATATAATGAATATAATGAATTATGTGAGAATAAAAAGCTGTCAGCTCAAGGAACAGTTTAGCATCAGAAAGTTTTTTAAAACATATGTATCACTCCCGTTTATTGCATATATTTAATTAAAGACTTTAATATTCATACAACCTCTCTAAGTAAGTTTCCTTGGAAACAATCTCAACGAAATTTAAGATGGTTATAAGTAGGTTCAGTTCATGCTCGGATTTGCATTCACTTGAAAAATACACATTTTCCCAAGCTAGAAAAATCTGCACTTTCCCGATTGCCTATTTAATCCTGGACCCCTGCCAATAATTCCGCTACTAAAAGAAATAAACTGATAATCGCCTCAACAAAAAGTACTGTCGAATCAGGTCCTTTAATCTTAAAAAAAAAAAAAGCGGATCCCACTAACAGAAAAACGTCCATACATCCTGATCTTAAATCCTGCATATATCTTTAAATAGCAGCGTGACTGGAAAATTCAACAGAAACTGAATTTCTTTTATGGAAATTGAAGATATTTTTACTATTTAATTTATATTGCTCCCGAAATAGCAAAAGGCACAGAACCACCTTAAAGTAGTAAATCTGAGCGCCAAACAGGTGGCCAAAGTCTTGAAGGAACGAAAGAAGCCCTGGGAGTGTTGGCTGCAGCATTAGCCGCTCACTGAGACCAACCAGTTTCTATTACGCAAAGGAAAAAAAAATCTACCTCTCCGGAACATCTGGCGGTAGCCGACACTGCACAAATCCCTACCCTGACCTCTCATGCCTCTCAGGATGGGCGCCGCCATGTTGACATTCATAGGTCACGTGAAACTGGCGGTCTGAAGATAAATAGAGGAGCCATCTTGGAGGAGGGCATAACTAAGCAAACCTATAGATGACGACCGCCATCTTGAAATTCAAAGGGCTGGATTGTTTGATACCGAATGCGTTTTAGGGGCCGCCATCTTATTTTAGGGCGCGGCATCTTCACAAAACATCCCCGTGGAGCCATTTTAATCTGAAAAGAAGCTTCTTTTCCAATATAGACTATCTGGTATCACGTGCCTAGATTGATTAACGGCTTGTACAAGTAGGCCAATTTACTGTGAGAGGGAAGAAAAAAAAGTTTATATCGACTTTAAATCTATACTACGTTAAAAATGCAAACGGAGTTTTGTAACATTTTCATTAGACAAAATGATTAAAAATCTAAAAGGACAGGAACGAAGGAAGAACATGCTTCTATTCTTGTGGAAAAATAAAGCCTTAAAAAAATAAAGGGCTTTTACGAAATTCCATGGGTGAAAGAGAGATCTTTATTTTTGCGCAAAAAGGTTCAGAAGTGATTTAACAATCAGCAAATTTCTGAACAAGGGGGGAGGGTCTAAACTAAAGCTTTATAGGTTTCTTTCTCTCAGGAACAAAGGAAGCATAGATGGAATCTTACATTGTATATGGAATCTACTTTGTGTAACATTCAGATAGTTTCTCACACGTTAGGTCCATTTCTCATGGGAATACAATGAAGGCAGTTTTTACTTTTATACAATGTTTCTAAATATGCATTAGGTCATTCACGTACTGTTAATACAGCTTTTGGCTAACACAGCTTTCTTTCAGAGATTATGCAGACATATGATTTTTGCTTTTAGTGATTTTTCATTATTATTATTATTATTTTACTTTATTCTTCTTTATTCTATGTTATTCTATTTCTTTCCCACTTTACTCCCCCCTTTTGGAAGTTTTCCAGCTTAAACTTCCATCACTCCACCCCCGATTCCGGATCTCCCGAAGGCACCACTTCACATTCCCACAAGGCCAACACTGTCCCATGCTTCGCTGCCAACTGGGCTGCACCCTCTGAGATTCTCCGAACCATGGCCACAAGGCAGGGGATCAAGCAAGGAACCAAAATACATCCTAGAATCAACAAAACTCCCAGGCCTACAAACCTTCACAGCCACAGCAGCCCCGCCAATTCCAAGATCCACAGCAGTGGCCTCATTGGTTCCAGACCACCATCCACCATCCTCCCATGTCCCCGTGCATAGGAGGTCACCCACCGCTACACAAGATCCCCTTTGTTTCTTGAGTAACACACATGTCCCACCAAGCTAGAAGTGAGACCCCAATCACCATCCCTCCCACCCGTATAGGCCAAGCTAATATCCCTAGACATTTCCAGTACCCTGGCACAACCCAACTCTTGTGCCTCCCACGGCCAGACACGCCCAAAGCATGGGCAATGTCCTCCGCTAACCCAACAAAGGCATTGGCCACATGTCTAGACACCCCAGGAACATGCAGGCTCTCCATCTCCTCACAATATGACCAAAACAATGATTTTTGTTCTGGTCTTTTGGCCGCAGCTACAATCTTGACCTCCATTTCTGATATTGGGTCACAGCCACCTGCATCCACTCCCATCCCAAACATCCACCCCCCACCCTCCCACCCACCCTGCCCCAGGAACCAACCGCCACTCTTGACTGCGAGAGCCACCAAACCACAGTTATCCGTTCCACAGGAACCTGCCCCCGTTTCATTCCTCTCAAACAAGATGTGGTCCATCCCTTCCGGGTCCCGGGCACGCCACTCAACACACGACCACCACCCACACCCGACCGCACATCCATCTGGTGGGCACAAGTATCCACGTTCTGGGACAAAGCTGTGAACATCACCGATCCCTCCGCAACCACACGTTGGAGCCCAACAACCAGCCGCCTCGCAAACATCAAAGGTGACGCCAAAACTGGAGTGTGGACTGGATTTCCACTGGGAGATCCCCAAGAGTGCCCGGTCCCCACAGCCAGTTCCCGCTCTATGCGCCCTGACCTGCAAGGCCCAACGACCAGGATCAGACCCCGGGCCACAACACCGATATTGGACACCCCCTCTACAAACCCCATATATAGCTCCACTGTATGCACAAGAGTCAGGAGAACCATCCTGACACCCCTCTGGTTCAACTGCACGGCAAATCAAAGTCTTGGCCATCTGGTTTCCCTGTTTTGTAGCTTTGATACAGTTTTGACAGCCCTGGTCTCCCTGTGTCCCTGCTCCCCCCCGGCGTGTGCCACTCAATAATTCCCCACTAGAGGGTCCCTGCACCATGACCTCCCGTGCAGCCACCGCACCGATCCGTGTAGGAATGTGTGTGCATATTAAATAATTAACAAATATTATGAGCTGTAGACTCCTCATATCTTCCACCGTGCGTAGAGAGACAGCTTCCTGGGGTGTCTCAGCAAGGTTGTTGATCACACCGTGTCTTGGGAACCCGTTGCTGTATTTCTTGTAAATTTCAACACCAAAGGCTTGTCAGTCTTGTCCACCTTGTAGGTCACCGGATCTGCAGGTGCAGCTGCTTTCACTCTACTCCAATGGATCCAAGATTTTCCTTCCAGGGTTTTCACTGCCAAAGGAGAACACATGACAACAGTATACGGTCCTTTCCATCTTGGGCTCAAGGGATCTGATTTCCAGTTCTTTACCCACACTCTATCTCCAGGCTTGAACCCATGTGTTGCTGTAACCACTGGAGGGGGTTGTTGTTCCATCATATAATGGCGCAATTTTGAAACGGCCAAATTATGAAGCTGTAACTGATGTAACAATTTCTGTTGATCTACTCCCCCCTTATGTGCCAAATCGGGCCATCCTTGACTGTCAGGTTTAAACAGGCAAGGAGGACGGCCAAACATGAGCTCATAAGGACTAAGTTGTAATTTAGTGCGGGGGGCCAGTCTGATTGCATACAGAACCATAGGCAAAACATCTGGCCAATGTAGATGAGTTTCCAAACAAAATTTGGTAATAAGTGTTTTAATTGTTCTATGGGATCTTTCCACTCTAGCAGCCGATTGAGGGCGGAAAGCACAATGAAATCTCCACTTAATTCCTAATGCTTGGGCTAAAGCCTGATTGATTTGGTGTACAAATTCAGGGCCATTATCTGATGAAATCCTAGAAGGGCAACCAAATCTAGGAATAATTTCTTTAAGAAATATTCTGGCAACCTGTATAGCTTTCTTATTTACAGTTGGAAATGCTTCAATCCATCCTGAATAGGTATCAATTATTACTAACAATGCTACATATTTCTTACTTCTAGGCATGTCAGTAAAATCAACAACAACATAGTCCATAGGAAAATAAGCGATTGGTTGTCTGCCAGGTGGTATTACTGGTCCTTGGCGTGCATTGGTTTGGGCACAAATGGTACATTGAGAACAAACATCTGCTATTAACGAAGAAGCAAATGGAATATAAAAAAATCGTTCAAGTTGCTGTAATAATGCAGTTTTTCCCAAATGATGTTGCTTGTGTGCCTGAAAAATAAGTGGGCGAGCAAGTGCCAAAGGGACAGCAATGCGTCCATCAGGTAAAATGTACCAGCCTTTAACTAGTTTGGCTTGTACATCTTGTTGTAATTTTTGAGTTTCCTCCCTCGTATATGTAGGATCAAGTTGTTCTAAGTAAGTGTCTAGATACATGACCTTGTGACATCTGATTGGAGAGGGGGACCTTCTAATGCAGCTCTTTTTGCTTCTTTGTCTGCCTTCCTATTGCCCTGGGTAATAAGGCTTGAGTCTTTTTGATGTCCAGGACAATGGATGATTGCAACTTTGGATGGCAATTGGGCTGCCTTGATAAGTCTTTTAATCAAAGTTGCATATTGGATAACTTTGCCTGTGGAATCCAAATATCCTCTCTTTGTAGATAGCCGCATGTGCGTGTATTGTTAAAAATGCATATTTACTATCTGTATATACATTTAAAGTCCTTCCCGCTGCTACTTCTAATGCACGGGTCAAGGCATATAATTCTGCAAACTGTGAACTGGCTTGACTAGGCAACTGTGCTGATTCAACAGTAGAAGTTTGAGAAACTATTGCGTAACCAGAGTATCTACATCCTTTATCCATAAAACTAGAACCATCAGTAAACCATTGATAGTCTGGATTATGCAAGGGTTGGTCTGTAAGGTCAGGTCTGCAAGAATATTGTAGTTCTATTGTTTGCATGCAGTCATGAACAGGTTTGGTAGAATCAGGAATTGGCATTAGAGTTGCTGGGTTTAAAGTTGAACATTGTTGCGGTGTAACTTGTGGATTTTCTAATAAAAGAGCCTGTATTTTATGCATTCGTTGATTACTTATCCATAAATGTCCTTTATTGTCAATGATTGTTTGCAAGGCATGACTAGTATAAACAGTCACTGGAGCTGAAAAGGTTAACTTACTTGCCTCCTGCAGTAATAGCATAACTGCTGCTAGAATTTTTAAACACTGGGGCCAGCCTTGTGAAGAAATGTCCAGGTGTTTTGACAGATAAGCGACAGGGTGATTCCAACTTCCCTGTTTTTGGGTAAGGACCCCTAAAGCTACATTTTGTCTTACATCCACGTAAAGTGAAAATGGCTTAGATATATCAGGTAGTCCTAGGGCGGGGGCTGTGGTGAGAGCCTGTTGCAATTGTCTCATTGCTTGGGTTTGTTCCTCTTGCCACAAAAGAGGTTCTTTTTCTGGTCCCCTTAAAACTTGGTACAATGGTTTAGCTGTGAGAGCGAAGTTAGGAATCCAAATTCTACAGAAGCCTGTAATTCCCAAAAAGGCTCTAACTTCCTGTTTTGTTTCTGGGATGGGAATCTGTAACACAGCTTGCTTTCTCTGGGGGCCCAAAGTTCTTTGTCCTTGTGAAAGTTCATAGCCTAAATACATTACAGTCTCTTGAACTAATTGTGCTTTCTTTTTGGATGCTCTATAACCACAGTCTTGTAACAATTGGAGCAGTCTGGACGTGTTTTCAAAGCAATCCTCCCTGCTTTGGCCAGTTACTAAGACATCATCGACATATTGAAGGCAACAATCCTCTTGTCTGACTAACTTCAGATAAGCAAAATCTTGGGCTAGGGCTTGACTAAAGCACGTTGGCGAATTTTTAAATATACGGCTACCACAAGGATTTGATTGCTTGCCAATAGATTTATTTAGGACAGATCTGGTGGCTCCCGTGTCAACTAGCGTCGGGACAACCTGTCCTCCCACCCTTATTTTAACAATGGGCTCTGGGGGTGGGCGATAGAACCCTGTCCTCTTCAGTCTTCCCATTCCAGTTCAGCTAAGCCGATCATGTTTTCTTCTCTTTCCTCTGTCTGATTGGGATAAATTGGATGCCCTCTTCCTTTGAAGCTCTTTCTGAAGCCTCTCTGGAAAGTCTCTCTAAATCCTCTTCCTCTTCCATACTGGCGAGATTGTCCCCTGGGTTGGCCATTCCTCTGGGGGCACTCCCTTTGCCAGTGTCCTTCTTGTTTACAGGTGGCACACTGATTGGGTACTAGGCATGTTCCTCCCAATGCCATAGATAACATTTCAACTTTCTTTTTTTTTTTTTTTTGATCTGATTTGCGTTCCTCCTCCTTGTCACAGTTACGGAACATATTGAAGCATTGAAATATTAGTGTTATCTGGTCCAGGAACCAACACCTCTCTTAGAGGGGCAATATTTTCTTCTGGTTTTTTTTTTCTAACTTGCTCCTGGTGCGGCTAGAAACTGAGGTTTCACTTTCAAAGTTATTCAAGCTTTTATCTGTTTCTTGAAGGGATTCAGCTGTTGCTAATTTTCCTTTCTCACCGGCTTCTGGCTGAAATTGGGCTTCTCTTTCAGGCAGAGGGAGTGGAATTTTCTGATTTATTCTCCCTTCTTCTCTTCTAGGAACGTAGGGGGGTGGTCTGGCAATTTCCTCCCTATCTTCCTGGCTGAAAATCTTAGCTTTTGTTTGAGGCTTGGCTTTTTGGGTTGCCAAATATATCTTTGCACACTCTATCTGACATTTTGCTAACCATCTGGGTCTCTGTGCAATGTTGATTTTCCATAGGGGTACTGATCCCAATAACCATTTCCAGTCACAATTTGATGAACCCGTGCAACGAGTTCGGGATTCGCCCATCCCATTTTTGGCCACCCTACGCCCAGGGCAGTCCACTCAGATTCACAGAATCTTTTTAACATGGCTGGATTTGGTTTTGGATCTCCATAATCCCTAGAAAAACTCTTTTTGAACTTCGCACATGCACTGGAGTGGCGTCTGGTCAACGCTCTCCTTTGACTTTTTCCCACCCATTTCTCTAATACACTACCATCGATCACTCAGCATGAGCTACAATGGTTTAACCTCCCACACAATCCTGCCTATTGAAGGCTTAAGGACGCCACCTTTGCCTTCTAGGGGGTGATCAGTCCCCTCTTCCGATCCAAAAGGGATCAGGTTTCCCCTGTTTTACAATACTTGCCTGCAGGCGTTTTCCCAGACTCCTTTGTTGATTTAAGATCTGTCTGTCACCCTCATCCTCAGACTGGAATGCTTCGCCTTCCCTTTCGAAGTCTCCTCATAGTCAAAAGCTACGAAGCCGGCTTTGCTGTCGTCGTTTAGGAGAGAGGGGGGGGGGTCCACCAGGGCAATCCGTCTTGGAAGGTTAAATCCTTTTTCTTAAAAGCCCTTAAAAATGTCCCGGCGAAGTCGCCATAAATCTTGTGGAAAAATAAAGCCTTAAAAAAATAAAGGGCTTTTACGAAATTCCATGGGTGAAAGAGAGATCTTTATTTTTGCGCAAAAAGGTTCAGAAGTGATTTAACAATCAGCAAATTTCTGAACAAGGGGGGAGGGTCTAAACTAAAGCTTTATAGGTTTCTTTCTCTCAGGAACAAAGGAAGCATAGATGGAATCTTACATTGTATATGGAATCTACTTTTGTGTAACATTCAGATAGTTTCTCACACGTTAGGTCCATTTCTCATGGGAATACAATGAAGGCAGTTTTTACTTTTATACAATGTTTCTAAATATGCATTAGGTCATTCACGTACTGTTAATACAGCTTTTGGCTAACACAGCTTTCTTTCAGAGATTATGCAGACATATGATTTTTGCTTTTAGTGATTTTTCATTATTATTATTATTATTTTACTTTATTCTTCTTTATTCTATGTTATTCTATTTCTTTCCCACTTTACTATGGTTTGGAATACAAGTAGTCCTCAACTTACAGCCACAATTGAGCCCAAAATTTATGTTGCTAAGTAAGAATTTTGTTAAGTGAGTGTTGCTCCATTTTACGGTTTTTCTCGCCACATTTGTTAAATGAATCACTGCAGTTCTTTAATAACGTGATTGTTAAGTGAATCTGGCTTCCCCATTGACTTGTTATAAGGTCACAATAGGGGATCACATGACTCCAGGATACTGCAACTGTCATAAATGTGAGTCGTCAAGCTTTCAAATGTGAATCGTGATCATGGGGATACTGCACTGGTCATGAGTGTGAAAAATGGTCATAAGTCACTTTTTTCAGTGCCGTTGTAATTTCAGTCACTAAATAAACTGTTGTAAGGAAGGATTACTTGCATCAGAAAAAAATTATAATGTGCCTGAAAATCCAGCAGTTCTATTAATATAACAAATGTAAAAAACACATTTATTGAAATGGCAAGTTTTTTTTAAAAAAATCTGTATAAAGAATGATTAAATTTGGGAACCAAAGGTATTTTTTAGTTGATCCTTGGTCTCATAGCCAAAAATATATTGCCCAATACCTCAATTTCCATCTTGTAAGTTCATTAAGAAACTGAATGTCTGGTTTTTGTTTTCCTAAAGCAATATTTTAGAAAGATTATGTAATTCAAATCTGGGGATGATTTTAAAATGTACCAGTTGCTTTCTCTGCCCACCTCACAGGGTTGTTGTTATGGGGAAAATAGGAGGAATGTGTGTTGGATAAAGAAAGGAAGGGAAGAGACTGAATTATATATAAAAGATCTAGGAAATACTGGTGGACCCCAGCCAAGATGAAGAAGTAGTGTGATGGAGCAAAAACTTCAGCTGCCTTATAAAAAAAGTATTGAATTCCCAGAATTATTCATTTGAAAAGTGTGCTGGTTAGATCACCCTTGGAGTATTGAACACCATCCCTTAAAGAAGATTTGGAGAAACTAGAGTGGATCCAGATGAGCGTTGCCACAAGGCTCTGGAAATCCAATCTTACAAGCAACTATTAAAAGCCCTAAGTATGTTTAGCTTGCCCAAGAGAAGCCTAATGGAAAATATTACTTTAAAATATCTAAAGGCTATTATATGCAAGAGAGAGGCAGTCTTTTTCTGTGTTGAAATCAAAAGCAGGACAAGGAGCAACAAAAAAGGGCACTCAGGCTGAATATTAGGAGGAATTTCCTGATTAAGCAGTAGAACTATCTACTGCAACAGTCTCCAACTTTTTTTGCAGCAGTGATTGGTTTCTGAAGAAGACAATTTTTCCACAGATAGGATGGTTCTGTGTGCTACTTAATTCCCTTGCATACACAGATGCAGCTTTACTCACTTCTGTGGCCCAGTTCTCAACAAGTTATAGACCAGTACCCATCTGCTGCCTGGGGTTGGGGACCCCTGATCTACTGTGCACAGACTAGGGATCAACTCCATGGCTGTGGGTTGTTAAATACAACTGGATAGCATTTGTGAAGGATCATCCAATAGAATTATTCTGCATAGAGTAGAAAATTGGAGTACATGACCTATAAAGTCCAACCCAACTCATATATTCTAGGATTGTTGCACTATGAGATCTTTATAAGCCTTTCCTTTATGTTATTTTTCCAATATGAATTACTTTCCCAAGATGTTTATTTTCTGTGGGTGTGGGACAAAGTGATCCTTTTTTGACCAATCTTTTAATGAAAAGAATGGTTACTTTTGGCAGCCATAGAGAAATCTTCCTGGATTTCAGGGACTGGATTGTACTACAATTTTTTTACTGGTTTCTTGCTGAATCAACAACTAGAAATGTGCAGCTTGCTCTTGCTTGGCTAGCAAAACTAGTGTTAAATTAATTCAACAGCAACTTATTCCTTTTTCTCATGGGTTGCATGCAAGAAGCAGTATTGTGTATGAAGAATAATTAATCCTGTCATTCTAGAAAGAAATAATTTGGTAAAGCAGCAGCATCTTTTGGATGGATCTTTTAATATTCATTGTGCATGCTTCATTATAATAATTTGACAAGGCACTGGAGATGTCTAACAAAGAATCCTCTAGCCAATACCAAGGTGATACAAAGCCTGTCCTCATTACTGATATATTGGTACAGCAATGGCTGGAGAATTCTATAGGATGCAATAAATCATTAGTATGAAAATGACAAACATTGTTAGTCCATATTTTTGCCCTTATCCAAGATAATCAAAGCACAATAGCCCAACAAAAGTTCTACATACTTAGTGTAGTATGGTACTGTAGTTCTGAGGTTCATGAATCTTCCTCCAGCTTCCCTTGCCCACTCCTCTAAACAATTAAATGATGAAGATATGCAGATGTT